ACATTTGCTGTTAATATTCTGAAAAACTTGATGATTCCTGAATTTTATTCTAGAGCTAACTTTAAAGTGACACAAATATTATGTGCTTCCTTCAGAAATTCGATACAACTTCTAACTTGTTCTCGGTCAAAATAGGATTTGAAAATATGAAATTATCAACTTAACTGTCAGAAATAAGGGAGAATAATGGAAAACAAATGTTAATGTGCCACATTAACATTTGTTTATCATTTAATAGTAAGACTCTACCCATATTATGCCTGATTTAGGGCATACCCTGAAGGCCTCATAAGTCCTAAGACATTTAGGTAACATTGTTGTCATTATTCTTCATGAACAAATTCTCGATGGCCATCGCACATAATTAATGGGTAGATTATTTAATTTAGACATTTATTTTCAGTAAGAAATGTGAAATAAACGTAGCCATCAACAAAAATCCCGTACCATAGAGACAACTTTAATTCCATTACTGATGATAATACTAATATATCATCTGGACTTGTCTAGTCTTTAGATATAGCTTGCCGAGAAACACTAATGCTGCGATACTTTTTCTAGGATTAAATGTATCAGACAGGAGTTTAACGCCATTTTATTTTATTAAAAAGGAAAGTCCGACTCTATATCTTCACACTGAAAGGCTTCATAATATCATTTCCTACAGTTAAGCTACCTTGTGCCATTTCACTTTCTGAAAATTGAAATAGGTAGGTATATTGTGAACTGGTTGAATTTTATGACTGACTCTACCTTACCTACAAAATAAATTGTAACAAAATATTTGATGTACTCATTTACTCGTACCTAGTGATTTTCGATGAGATTATTATCCAGTTAAGACTTACACCTGATTCACACTACGAGTATGAACACCTGTCAACACGTATCATGGAGTGTCGCGTCTGAGCCTAATCAGTTAATATCTTAAGAAGGAAAGCTCACTACCGTCAAGAGAGGACAAATAATAGGCTTTTAACGCATCACATTACAAACGTTTTAACACTAAATAGGTAATAGTGAAAATCCGAAATAAGATTATTTGAAAACATACAACGTACCCATCCTTATTTTAATATAGATTACTGAGATGGCTAATATATTATACTTACCATTCAAGAAAACATAAAATACAAGTAAAACTGTACACGTACCTAAATTGAAACCTAAACATTTTACGGCTGATGTATAAAACGAACTCGTACGTTTCATGTTTATTTTTGTGTTTGAAATCCATAACGATGCAGAGCAGTGTTCTCGAATTTCCAAATTAGGCAAATGTCAAAATTTTCACATTCACTGATTGGGAATGCAGGATGTAACAATGATCCGGATATAGTCCGAAAAAAAATTGCGAAAATGTATTCCGGATCTTTTGTTGCGATTCAGCGGAACACGAGTATAATCCAATTGTTTCCTAGAATGTGCATTGTCACTCGAGGGTGTGCCATTCGGGCATCAGGACCAGCGAGCATCGTCCGTGCACCGCTGTCAGCTGCACGGCTATTCAATTTCACTCGTTTATTTTCTACTTATCCGTTTCTAGTTATTGTTCCATTTTGATAGTTGGACAATTGACATGGCATCCCGTTTTTAAGACACCCAAAGAATTCACTCAATTTAAAATTGGAAATATGTAACTCTCAATACCTACGTGGGAAGTAACTAATTAAAATTTGCCATAAATTACTTAACCTGTTTTCAGACAAATAAATATCATTAAAAGCCCTGAAAAAATAATTGGTATTCTCATATGACTTTTCCACTGTCACCGAAGGGACAATCCTCACCACGTGTAATGTAGAAAAAGTCCACGCAGGCGTAAAATTAACCGTATTAAAATATTTGTCTTTCCTGAAATGACTTTGAAGGTATTCAAAGTCATTTCAGGAAAGACAAATATATAATGTAGGTACATTATATATTTGCGGTAAAGCTTGAATGATTTCAATTTGTTTTATTATTTGCCCATTAAGTAATGAATAAAATTTTAAAATTCAATTTCAGTACCATTTTGTATCCATCTGTACCCTCTTCTTCACACTTCTTTACACATTTGTTTCTACTAATGTAATTAATAGTAAATTGGTGTACTATTTGAGCTGGAGAAATGTAATTTTACTTTAACTAGTGAACGTTGAACAATGCCTCATGTAGAACAAACATTATATCCAAACAATGGTGTACATATGTTCGAATATAATGTANTATAATGTTTGTGTAGCCCGAATATCTAAGGCTTCAAAAGTTTCAGGGCTTAGGTATTTCTAGAACGTGATCCTAACAGACTAGCAGTACTTTACGTCAAGTTTATTCAAAACTCTGTTATAATATGTTCGTCGCCGAGGTAGTATACCAATATTCGAAACTTAACGTATTAGGTACTAAGGCAGTTTGACAATATGTACTTACTCCTACTACGAGTATCCCAAGAACAAGTTTGATAGATATACAAGTGTACAAGATACTTAACTAGGTAGTATTTCAGGCAATTTAGAATTTATTCATATTTGCAATGAAAGCTGACAAAAGATATCGCCTCTATTTATCATTACCCTATATGCGAAAATGTAGAGTTACGTATACTTTTGCAATAATTATTAACGGGACTATTCCCACCTCTCATTCCCACCACTGCAACTCCTGTGTAGCCAGGATCTATACTTCACTACACTGCTTGACTGCCATAAAAACTCAACCAATGAAGGTCAATAATTTGTAGTGTAATATTGTTCGAAAGCCCTACCCCTGCAGATTCGTGATTTTACTCACTGACGAACATCAATAAGAGCCTAACAGGCCTAATACTGTTTACTGAACGTAATGTTAGCGCGATCTTACATGCATGCATTATTGTAATTGTGAAGGACGTGTAACTATCAAAAAAATAGTTATGTAAGGTTTTGAAAGATGAATGAATGAAGTTTAAAAGATGGCGAATATGATGGTAAATGTACCTTTATATTCGCTATCTTTTAAGTAAATAAAACCATTTTTAACAACACTAATATCTTTTTATTTCCATATAGCGTTTACAATAAAACTTACTTTACATCGTGAGCCAGGCATCACCAAAATACATTTAATAAAATAATTTACAGGTATATTTTTAATTTTATCAACACCTATTAATTTTTTTGACATATTATTAATAATGAGACATAATTTTTAACTTACAGTTAAATTACTTAACAATAGTAGTAACTAGTAAACAAAATATTTAATAACTTTCGAACATATAATAAACAGTTCACAATATCATGATTAAAATTAATTCCTTACAAATGAGTGAGAATAACATAATCGAATCCTTAAAGAACCTGCATTATGCCATTGTTTACATATTATGAATATAATTATGTAAGGAATGATACTAATATTANTGTCCGTCTGTATGTTCCTTATAGAAACAAAAACTACTTGACGGATTTTAACGAAACTTAGTACAATTATTCTTCATACACCTGGGCAGGTTATAGTTTACTTAGGATTTCCCACGGGAACAGGAATTAGCGGGAAAATCCTTTTGTATGAAAAATCTAAACGCTTAACGGAAGTTAGACGCTTGAAATTTGGCATGTAGGTACCTTAGTAAACTTAAAGCTTATTTACAACAAATAATTACCGAAATTCCCACGGGAATTAGCGGGAAAATCCTTTTGTATGAAAAACCTAAACCGCTTAAGTTGACCTGAAGTGATGCAGTGACCGCGCGCTCTCCGCCCTCTATCTCGAAAACGGTTCACCGTATAAAAAAAAATTTGAAATAAAATTTGTAGAGAATTTAGTATTCTACAATATTGATAATAAATAGAAATAGCAAAAAACCCATAGGAAATGAGATATTTCCAAAAAAAGCGCAAAAAACCGATTTTTATGACCTTTGACCTTAAAATTTAATAGTTGCTTACACCCTACCATATGTAGGTTTTGAGACAACTTTTAGGGTGTCAATATACAAGTATTTACAGACTTACAGCTGGGTATCTCTAATTCCGAGATTCTTACCTAATTAAAGCTTAAATGACTGGACTATAGGTATTAAGACAGTTTGACAATATGTACTTACTCCTACTACGAGTATTCCAAGAACAAGTTTGATAGATATACAAGTGTACAAGATATTTAACTAGGTAGTATTTCAGGCAATTTAGAATTTATTCATATTTGCTATGAAAGCTGACAAAAGATATCATGTCCGCCTCTATTTATCATTACCCTATATGCGAAAATGTTTCCACTAGAAATTTACAAAAATAACACCTCTTTTTACAATCCCCTGGTTAGGATGCGCAGACTTTATAATGACATGGCGTTAGAGAATCCGGAATTTGATATATTTCAACAAAAATTACACTCGATTCGCAGAAGCATTGACACAGTTTTAAATATAAATATTGATAATAATACAAAAAATAATTGATAACTTTTTCCTTTTTTTTTAACATACTTAGTTTATAGGGTTGTGTCTTTTGAGCATTTTGTATGTGTTTATTAATTGTGCAAAGTAAATAAAATCATCGTAACTTAAATGTACGCTACTTGTAGGTTGGAGTCTAGACACTGTTCATTTTGTTTAAGTATTTTGATATGTAAATGACTGTAACCTGTATGTGTACTTATTGAATAAAATAAATAAATAAATGTAGAGTTACGTATACTTTTGCAATAATTAGTACTGTAATATTGTTCGAAAGCCCTACCCTGCAGATTCGTGATTTTACTCACTGACGAACATCAATAAGAGCCTAACAGGCCTAATACTGTTTACTGAACATAATGTTAGCGCGATCTTACATGCATGCATTATTATAATTGTGAAGGTGTAAGGTGTAACTATCAAAAAATTAGTTACTTATGTAAGGTTTTGAAAGATGAATGAATGAAGTTTAAAAGATGCCGAATATGATGGTAAATGTACCTTTATGTTCGCTATCTTTTAAGTAAATAAAACCATTTTTAACAACACTAATATCTTTTTATTTCCATACAGCGTTTACAATAAAACTTACTTTACATCGTGAGCCAGGCATCACCAAAATACATTTAATAAAATAATTTACAGGTATATTTTTAATTTTATCAACACCTATTTTTTTTTTGACATATTAATAATGAGACATAATTTTTAACTTACAGTTAAATTACTTAACAATAGTAGTAACTAGTAAACAAAATATTTATTAATTTTCGAACATATAATAAACAGTTCACAATATCATGATTAAAATTAATTCCTTACAAATGAGTGAGAATAACATAATCGAATCCTTAAAGAACCTGCATTATGCCATTGTTTAAATATTATGAATATAATTATGTAAGGAATGATACTAATATTAATTACACTAGTCAAATAACGGGAGGGATAAGTAGACATAAAATTAGAGGGTCGGCCTGAAAGCGTCTTGGGACCTTTTGGAACCGATGGGAAAGTGAGAGAGATCGATTTCATCCATAGGGTAGTCAGGTCGATATCTCTTCTTGTCGAAACTCGATCTGTGGAACAAAAACCAAGCATTAATAATCATAGCTATTCGTCAAACAAAGATGCTAAAATATTTATCTTCTATTTTTCAAGAAAATTACCTACGAATCAAGTTTCACGATCTTGTCTGAGGTAACAGTAAAAATGTATGCTCTCACGATGAATCAAGCCTATAGTAAACAGACAATAACTACAGTTCTGTAGCAATTATCTATTTATTAGTCAAATACATTATGAAGGCTGATTGCCTACATTATGAGTACCTACTGATCAAAAGAAAAAAAACATATTCTAAAAGGTTATTTTTAGATTTCGATTCTCGTCGAACCTTGTAGTAATTAATATACATTTGAATTTTAGGTACTATTCGAACCTTAAATAGGAAACAAAAATGTCAAGGAATTGAGAATATAACCTTCTTACTCTATAATTTTATAATTCAAATCAAAGGTCAAGCTTTGAGATACTTTTTTTGCATTTATAAAGCTACTCTATGAATAACGAAACTTTTGAAGCAGAGCATGTTAGAAAAGGTTTAGTTTAGTTTAGGTAGAATCTTACATATTTTATCTTTCAACTTTTTACTCACTTTTAGACAAAATAATATTATTGCAATCTTTTTTCTTTCTGTTTCGATAACACAGAATATTTTTTATGCTCTTAACCAAAAGATGAAACGTAAAGTTCTAAATATGTTGGCACTAATAGTAGTGGGATGTATTTTATTTCGAAATAATTTAAATTGTTAGCCAGGGTCTTATCTAATTTCCTTTATGCATTAGTCGCATTTGCAACGCACTACAGAAGTGATGCCAACGCGCTACTAACGCGTGACTGCATTGCTACAAAAAGTCGCCGTGGGCGAGGGCCCTCGTAGTAACACACTTACACAGGCATATCAATCTCGAAGCGGTTGGGCCCGTACAGGTGGTAGAAGCGCTTGGTGGCGTACGGGAACGGCATCGACGTCTGGTCGATCTCGTCGAAGTTCCTCTTGATCACGAACTGGTCTAGGCCAGATCTACGAACAAAAAAAAAGTTAATTAAATAGATAAGTAAGTAATAGGTACTCAAACCAACCTACTATAAAAGCGAAAGGTCACTGATTGACTGACTCACTCATCACGAAATCTCAGAAACTTCAAGTGCTAGGAGTCTCAAATTTTATATGGGGGTGGGTTCCTTTTAGAACGTAGGTGCTCGTGCCCTTTTAGACGGGATTTTGCAAAAATCAACCCCTAAGGGGGTAAATATTGTGTTTACGGCGTAGGGCAGGTGACCCGGTTTTGGCCATTTTAAGAATTTTTTAGACTTTGAGACTATATCATTTTACAGTTTTTTTATCACGGACTTATTTCTTGTAAAAAGTGATTAAATATATTTAGATCTAGCCTAAGGATACATTTTTTTTCATAATGATTCAATGGAAAAATAATCCTGTAGAAAAGAAAAAGAAATGGGAATTTGTGCCATTTTTGGCCAGCTTTACCCCATTTCTGGCCACAGTCATGTGCCAGTTCTGGCCATCAAAATACATAAAAAAAAAAACTACTCGACGGATTTTAACGAAACTTGGTACAATTATTCTTCATACTTCTGGGCAGGTTATAGTATACTTAGGAATTCCCACGGGAACAGGAATTAGCGGGAAAATCCTTTTGTATGAAAAATCTAAACCGCTTAAGTTAGACGCTTGAAATTTGGTATGTAGGTACCTTAGTAAACTTAAAGCTTAGTTACAACAAGGAATTCCCGAAATTCCCACGGAACGGGAATTCGCGGGAAAATCCTTTTGTATGAAAAATCTAAACCGCTTAAGTTGGACGCTTGAAATTTTGCATGCAGCTTAGTTACAACAGGATATTGCAAAATTCCCACGGGAACGGGAATTAGCGGGTAAAAACATTTGTACGAAAATATCTAAACCACGTAAGATAGATGAAGGGGGTAAAACGGGATCCACGCGTACGAAGTCGTGGGCGGCCGCTAGTATGAAATATAATATCTCAGCTTGAATTGAAATTACAATTAATGAGANTCAAGGAATTGAGATTGAGAATATTTAACCTTCTTACTCTATAATTTTATAATTCAAATCAAAGGTCAAGCTTTGAGATACTTTTTTTGCATTTATAAAGCTACTCTATGAATAGCGAAACTTTTGAAGCAGAGTATGTTAGAAAAGGTTTAGTTTAGTTTAGGTAGAATCTTACATATTTTATCTTTCAACTTTGGCACTAATAGTAGTGGGATGTATTTTATTTCGAAATAATTTAAATTGTTAGCCAGGGTCTTATCTAATTTCCTTTATGCATTAGTCGCATTTGCAACGCACTACAGAAGTGATGCCAACGCGCTACTAACGCGTGACTGAATTGCTACAAAAAGTCGCCGTGGGCGAGGGCCCTCGTAGTAACACACTTACACAGGCATATCAATCTCGAAGCGGTTGGGCCCGTACAGGTGGTAGAAGCGCTTGGTGGCGTACGGGAACGGCATCGACGTCTGGTCGATCTCGTCGAAGTTCCTCTTGATCACGAACTGGTCTAGGCCAGATCTACGAACAAAAAAAAGTTAATTTAAATAGATAAGTAAGTAATAGGTACTCAAACAAACCTACTATAAAAGCGAAAGGTCACTGATTGACTGACTCACTCATCACGAAATCTCAGAAACTTCAAGTGCTAGGAGTCTCAAATTTTATATGGGGGTGGGTTCCTTTTAGAACGTAGGTGCTCGTGCCCTTTTAGACGGGATTTTGCAAAAATCAACCCCTAAGGGGGTAAATATTGTGCTTACGGCGTATGTGTTTGCTAAATTGTAATTTGCAAATAAGAAATAGGCAACTAAAATTCTCATTCCATTTTCTAAAAGTCTTACCGGTCAATTTCGTCAAAGTTCCTCTTGATCACGAATTGGTCTAAACCCGAACTAGAAACAAAAAGATTAAGCTCAAATATACTTCTCAACAGATGTCTTAATTACGAAAAATTTGGTATAACTACCAAAATAATAGAAATACAAGTTTATCAATCTACTCGTGCTACGTTTAAAGTTCAGTAGATTAACTACGATTTCACTATATTGAAAGTAAAATAAAAAAAAACACCTTCAGATAATCCCCATCGCTGGAACAGACGCAGTCCCACTTACCGGTCTATCTCGTCAAAATTGCGCTTGGGGAACTCGGGGTAATATCCGCCGCGCGCGGGCGCCGCCGGCCACGGCTCGCGCTTGCCGAAGGGACTACAACAACGGACTTATTGAGATCGGGTATCGAATATAAGCTTTCAATAAAAATATACAGAGAGTAAGTGCCTAAGTAAGTTTCCATTGATGCGGATTTCGGCACGCGTGCGGATTTGCTCTCTCCAATCTGTTGCGTGCTGGTTGCTTGCATGCTACGCGTAATAGAAAAAACCTGTATGAATTAATGAATGATCTAAGTATTTTTCTGCTCTAGGTTTGTTTCACTTGACACCACAGTAATTTGACATACTTTTTATGATGTGTCAAAACGTAACGTAGATACAATTTCTCCTAACTCAAATAACTAACTAATAAATGAATTTGAAATATACCAAAAATATTTTTAATTTTTTACAGGAAATTGAACACCAACTCTATTATACAGAGCTAGATTTTATAAAGTTGTTTCTCGGAATTATTGGTTAAGTCCCAATTACCAAACAATGTACGTGCATTTGTTCCGTATTCGCGATTCAACTTGCATGGATTCTAGAAAGTTCGAGGTTAATGCTATAAGCGTCTACAAAAATGAGCAGAGCCCTGGAAAATCGTATTAAATGTAGGCTAGCAAAACCTGAAATAGTGAATTCAGATTATGCTTCTTGGTCAAAAACGAATGAGATTTTCGTCTCAAAAGCTACCAATACTTATATGTTCGTGTTCCTTTGCTTTACCGCGTTGCCAACTCTTACTCTTAGATGTGATATAATATCTTCGAAAATAAATACATATAGCGCGTAACTTAGGCACTGCGAATCCTCTAGCTTATGAATGAAATAATCGTTGTAGGTACTTGTATTCGTATATTGGTATGATACACCACATATTAATTCGTACTTGAGAAACTGGCGTCTGACTTTTGTGAACATGAATATATGTACAAACATTTAATACATTAAATCTGTTGATTGAAACATTTTAATCAAGCGTATTCGACAGAACGAAAGAGAAATGATAGTCTGACTGCTAAAAAATAAGGTTTATATTAAAGTGTAAATAAATTATTAAACAACCCTTACCTGTTATCAAATTTTCTTGTCATGAGATACGGTACAAATCCCGTGTCCCTTGCAGCTCTGACCAAAGCGCCTCCAGGGTGATCCATACTCACAGCTTTATGACCTATTGGTATTACAACAGTAACAAGTATTATCACTATTCAAATAGATTTTAAAAAATCGAATAAAATACTTATAATTTATATCTTACCCGTTCATGATTACATCAATCAATATCCTTTCTTTAAGTAACAAAATGAATAAANGGTATCGAATATAAGCTTTCAATAAAAATATACAGAGAGTTTTTCTATTGATGCTGATTTCGGCACGCGTGTGGATTTGCTCTCTCTAATCTGTGGCGTGCAGTACCTCTAGCATGAACAACTTTCGTGTTCGAATCGTTTGCGTACCTACTCGATAAAATTACGGGTAAAGAAACTTTATTCTCATAAGAATTACTTCACTTACATGAGAAATAAAAAAAAATATTAAAATAAACGTTTTACAAATACGCGAGCGTGCTAAACTAAGTTAGTGTGGGTGGGTAGTTTGGTATCATGAAACAAGACGACAATTTTCGAATTAAACGATAACGTGACAATTTTGATTCTCAAAATAAGTTTCATGCAACCACATCTCATAAAGAAGTTTTCTTACTAAACTTTTGATGGCGATTCGAGTACGCAAACGATTTGAACTGGAAAATTTTTCGTGCTAGCCGTACTGGTTGCGTGCATGCAGTCCGCGTAATAGGAAAAACATGTATGAATTAATGAATGATCTAAGTATTTTGCTGCCCTAGGTTTGTTTCACTTGACACCACAGTAATTTGACATACTTTTTATGATGTGTCAAAACGTAACGTACCATTTCTGCTAACTCAATTGACTAACAATAAATGAATTTGAAAACCAAAAATATTTTAAATTTTTTACAGGAAATTGAAAACCAACTCTATTATACAGAGCTAGATTTTATAAAGAAGTTGTTTCTCGGAATTATTGGTCAAGTGCCAATTATCAAACAATGTACGTGCATTCGTTCCATATTCGCGATTGTTCTTGCCTGGATTCTAGAAAGTTCGAGGTTAATGCGTTAAGCGTCTACAAAAATGAGCAGAGCCCTGGAAAATCGTATTAAATTTACTAGCAAAACCTCAAATAGTGAATTCAGATTATGCTTCTTGGTCAAAAACGAATGAGATTTTCGTCTCAAAAGCTACCAATACTTATATTTGCGTGTTTCTTAGCTTTACCGCGTTGCCAACATATTACGTCTTAGGAAAATAAATGAATAAATAAATACATATAGCGCGCAACTGAGGCACTGCGAAAATCCTCTAGTTTATGAATTACCTAATCGTTGTACTCATAATCAATTGGTATGATACACCACATATTAATTCGTACTTGAGAAACTGGCGTCTGACTTTTGTGTTTGCCAGTGCTACTGGAATAGAACATGAATAAATAAACATTTAATACATTTAACGAACATTGAAATATTGTAATCAAGTGTATTCGACAGAACGAAAAAGAAATGACTCTGACTGCAAAAAAATAAGGTTTATATTAAAAAGTGTAACAAAAATATTTAATAACCCTTACCTGTTATCAAATTTTCTTGTCATGAGATACGGTACAAATCCCGTGTCCCTTGCAGCTCTGACCAAAGCGCCTCCAGGGTGATCCATACTCACAGCTTTATGACCTATTGGTATTACAACAGTAACAAGTATTATCACTATTCAAATAGATTAAAAAATCGAGTAAAATACTTATAATAATTTATATCTTACCCGTTCATGATTGCATCAATATCCTTTCTTTAATTAACAAGGTGAATATANTGAATAAATAGAAAGGGATTAGTAATAAAACACCAGATATAGGAGTCAACACAGCTACTAATTTATTTTAAACTCACAACACCAATAGGAGGTAAACCACGATAAATTTAAATAAGACCGTAGATTATCACATTTAATTCTGTTGTATTAAGAGAGAAGGTAATGTTAATTGTAAGTTATCGCAAACAACAACATCAAACTGTAATGATTAAACAAGGTTTCCACCTCCGATGGAATCTAGCTGTCGTATGTAGCGACTGAACACGGGGTCGAATCTCCTTACAAGATTGCCGCCTCCCAAAGAATCTAAAGTCTTCTTGACCAGATTAGGTCCTCCAATATGATCCAGATTCTTCTTCACAAAATTCCCACCACCAATCGGATCAAGATTCCTGAGAAACTGTGTCGCTCCCGCTAAATCCCTGTTAGGCACAAACTCTCCTCTCCCCGAGCTAGACATAGCATCGTTATCTTCAGAATTACCGCCCATTGGCCCAAGTCGATCACCTGCCAGCCTGCCTATCAGAGATGATCCTCCAATACTATTGAATGCCCCAGTTCCATGGACATTTCTACGCTGGAATGTACTCTCACCGAACCTCGGATACCTTGACCCCCATCCCCAAACGCCAGGCCTACTCAAAGCAATACCGATTCCTCTCCTTTTCATTGGTTTCTCAATATTATCAACAAATCCCGATTCTCCCAGGGTGTTTTGATAGTTTTGTAGAAGACGTAAGAGATCATATTCCTCTTTTAACGGTCCTGAAACAACATCAGTTCTGATATAGGTGAGCTGTAAATAAGTAGCTTTTCTAAATAATTTAGATAAATTTATTACTCACCGGGTGTGATAAAAACGGATGCACAGTGCTTAGGAAGCTCGTGATATTCGTTGTGCAGGGTCAAACTCCAAGGAGGTGCATCAATATGCCACTACTAACAGAAGTTAGTGACAGTTATTCAAAAGCTAAGTGCAAATATTGTGAAATCGTTAACAAGTGTCGTGGTTATGGTGGGACGTGTGCGGGAAGAGGTGTATCGATTGAGTGTGGTCACGTGATGTTTTGATCGTGCAAGGAAGTGATTAAAAGGGTGTAATTATTTCATGTGCTTGTAGTATAATTACCACATTTTATATTTCGAAATATTTATGAGAACTTAAAAGCTAATTGTGCTAGGAAAGTCAAATTTCGATCAAACAATTATTTACATTACAGTGTGTATCAATCAAGATTAAAAGTGAAATGTGATAATAGCATAACCGTCGTTATACAAGAATGTAGATGAATATAAGGGTGTAATAAACTTGAAATAGTGTGGTGTTATGTGCAAAGAGTCGACAAAGTAGTCACGTGCTCGTTGCAAGTGAAGGAAAAATTCTGACAGGTTGTAAAAATTTTCAAACTGCGTCACACGTGTGTGAGGACTCACCGGCGTCGTAATGTTCCCCGGGGCTCTCCCCGGCGCTCATGTCAGATTCCTGGCAAAGAAGGATGAATTATTAACACATTTCCTACCACCTTGAAGTGTGGGAACGACATTGAATGCAGCTGTACGGTATTACTTCTTTTTTCCATTACTGTGAATCGATTTCAATTAGTCTTATTTTCTAATTTTACTCAATTACTGCAATAAATTATGTTTAATATTTATACAAAACGTCTGAAAGTAAATTGGATGTACATCTTTTAACCATTTCATTATGCCCAATTTCCCGAACCAAGGCTATGGAAATTTGAGGATTACTTTCAAATCTCCTCGAAATACTCAAATTTGTGTTCAAATAACGTTCCAATATAAACTAGAATGGCAAACTCAATATAAAGAAGTGTAATACCTACGACACGGTGTATAAACGAAATATTATTAGACCTTGGCCTTTCCACGATTACCACATTATTGTATCAATAATAGATCTACACTTATTATCTGGATCTAAATTCACTTTTTCCCCAGACTCCTGAAAATACCGTGAAATGTGAGGGAAATCAAAATAATGTCAGTGGTTTTATCAGTGACACGTGCGATATTGGTTTGGTTGAATAAACAAGCCGTCAGTTATCGTTACGGAGCACTACGAAGACGTGCCATCGCTACGACATGCTACGGTTTGCTACGAAACTACGACTACGCGTCTACAGTTTTGTTTCTGACGGGTAGAAGTGAAATAATAAATTACTTCATTATTACATGTATGGTTACGACATTTTTATTTTAAAAAAATTTAACCGTGTGAGAAAGAACGTATTTTGTATCAAATAATCTACTATATAAAAATAAGTCGGGTTTTCCTCCCTGATGCTATAACTCCAGAACGCACGAACCGATTTCCACGGTTTTGCATTCGTTGGAAAGGTCTCGGGCTCCGTGAGGTTTATAGCAAAGAAAATTCGGGAAAAGGGGGTAAAACAGGATCCACGCGTACGAAGTCGCGGGCGGCCGCTAGTTTCATTATGTAAATAAATTGTCAAACTAATAAACATTCTTCTGTAATTATAAGTTCAATCTAAATTAAATTGTTTGGACCCCAATCTCATTACGCTTCTTTACATTGTACATACAATGTAAATATTATCATTAAAAATTATCAGGTAAATGACGACTCGAGGCAAAATTAATTTAGTACATAGTTAATAGGAAATCCTGAGATGTTATGTTTTNTATGTTATAATGAGATGTCTACTTTCATTTAGGAACTCGATCAACCATTAACAGTAACCATTCTTTATATTTGCATGCCATAGTCTATGACTAAATAGGTCTTAAGTAACATTGTATCAAATAAGAACTACTCTGTAACCACCTATTGAAGGCAAGTAAATGATTATGATTATGATTATGATCGTTATATCGATCTCTGGTAGGGCAAAATGTAATATCGTAATTATTATTTACCTGGTGAGAATCGGCGCCACAGCACGCAATAATAGCAGCCACGGCTATGACAAGCACTCCGCCGGCTCCACGCATCTTGGTGTTAGTACCTACAAGAACAAATTTATTAAATAAATACATGAAAAATATTTATTTCCCAAAAATACACGTTCAAAATGTTTTGCTAAGTCTTCCCGGTATGGAGTCAAAGACACTTGTATTGGAAATAACTCGCTACATCCCTTAGGGAATAAGGATAGATAATAAATACGTTAATTATGAAAGTACAAGCTCTGTAACATACAACAACCTCTAATAGCTTGTAATACCTCAAGAAACCAAGACAAAGTTCTTGAATAATATTAAACAAGTGACTGTTAATTAATGTTCTAGTCTAGCTATGATTTTATGTAAACTTTTTATAATTATGCAATTTAAATTCAGAGATACTTTTGTTACAATTTTCCACCTTAAATTATAATGAAGAGTGCACGGGACAGATTTACAACAACTTAAACAAATAAGTCCTGTAAAAATGTTGCGGCTACTTCTTTGGCATAAAAAAGCTTTAAGGTTGTTTTAAAGTACTTTTCATAAGTTTTTCTTTAACACAAGAAAACATTATAGCTTTGGTGTCCTGGGGGCACAAACGGAAAACTTCAGTTACACACACTAGGATATGATTCTTTGCTTCAAGACCGAGTACTATCGTACACCAATCCCTGTGGTATTATGTACTATTTATCTATTATCAACTAGCGTCCGCCCGCGACTTCGTGCGCGCGGATCCCGTTTATTTTACAAAATCCCGTCTTAGTGAGCACCTACGTTTTAAAAGGAAGCACCCCCATTCAAAATTTGATACTCCTAGCGCTTGTATTTTGTGAGATTTCGTGATGAGTGAGTCAGTCAGTCAGTCAGTCCTCTAACCTTTCGCTTTTATTTAGATAAACTATTCAAAAATATTTATAAAATCAATAAGTATGTTCGTTATCGTGTTAAAAAGCTACGTGAACGTTTATAAGTTATTATTCTCTTCGTCGCCGTTTGACTCACATAACATGGGTTTTGAACAAAATCCGTCGAAATTGCGCGAAGTCAACGCAATACGTATTATTGCATTCTCATAAATGTCGGAGTAAACGGTCTGGTTTTACTTCAGTAAATAAAATTTATTGGCGACTTGGTGCAGTCAATATCATTAATTCTTTGGACCTTGAATTTGATGGCATTTTTACGTGCTAGTGAATACCATTACAGACTGTTTAGAAGTCCCACAATTGTGAAATCTCAACTGAATTGAAGAAATCATTAGGCAAATAATTCGTTATCAAAAGACAATATCACTATCGCATTTTTGTAGACATTTCTATATTCACCCAAATTTTCCGTTAACCAAAATTTGTATAAAAAGCTTTATCAAAACTGATTATCACATATGCTCCACATATTTTTCTTGGAGACCATACTACTTATGAGGCATTTAGAAATAATTTAAAAAAACATTTTTGCGGCACTTCTTAGAAACTTTTTCCCTCGCTACTTTTACTGATAACAATTAAATTCCACTAAACTATATCCACACTTAAGTTTAGAGGCTTGCGCTGCAATTTGTGTGTATTTTAAAAATTCTAGTAATTTTTCAGCAATAATACTCATATTTTGTGAGTAATTTATAGCTTGTTTGGATGCAAAATGCATATTTTCAAGTTTCGTGATACATTTTTCGTTTTTAACAGCTAGAACAATTTTTTATTCCTTTCTTATAATAACGTTTGACAAGAATAAGTTTCCCTGACTATTGGAGCGCTTTCCTTGTTATTTTAACGTAACTCTTGAAAGACATCAACGCGTTTCTGTGGCCAAATAAAATGGAAAACCTGTTGTATTTCTTGTAAGCATTGGTATTTGGAATTAATTCAGTATTGTTGTAACATTATTGTTAAGTGAAGTGAACTGAAGGAAATAGACAGAATAGAATAAACGGTTTCCGAAAATGTTTCAACTTTCGGAGATTAGACGTCGGAGTAATAATTTAAAATAATTTAATTTATCAGGAATTTTGATTAATTTTCAAATAAGTAATGACTAGCTATGTCTTGAATATCCCAAAACAGTCCACTGCTGGGCGAAAAAGCCTAATTTACTCCACCAAGAGCGATCTCAAATTTTTTATATTTCTAAAATCGTGACTATCAAAGTTAATAAAAAGAATAACTTTTAAAATCACATAATGATTGTAAAAAAAAGTAATTGAAAGCAAACTTAAAATTGATAAGACACAACCACACAAATGATTTTAAAATCGTTACTGTAGAAGTTTGAAAAATGTAAAAAAAATACGTATTTTTTGATCCAAACCTTATGTGGAGTGTAGGCGGATGCGGGGGTTGTCGGTTGGCGGTGGTCGAAGCGCGTTGTGCCGTGCCGCCCGCGAGAGCCCGCTTTTATACGCACCCGCGGCCGCCCGCCTCCGCGAGGCTTGGGCGCTGGGCGGCGCCCTACACCCGGCATCCCTGCAACAGTACTTAACCTTATTGCCCATAATTGATATCTGGAGATGATTTTGAACTTGAATTGAAACACTGTTGAAATACTTGGCTGGGTGATTATTAACCGTTTAGCATACCTTCTATCGTAAAAACAAAGTGGAGTATGGTTTCGATTCGCAGTAGAATTGTTTTTTTTTTTCAAAGTTCTACTCTCATCCGGTAATTTAAAATTATCGCAGTCCATTTACTAGATACTTAAACCTACTTCATAAACATACATTTACATGTGGCCAGGTAGTTAACGTTCAAAGCTAAAATTTATAATTCTTACATCAAGGTGTATAGAATCTAAATCACCCCCATGTATATTCTACGATTTTGCTTAGTTTAGGAGATAGAGTTAATTTTATGATTTACGCTAGAGAAGCTTCCAGATTGAGAAAAAAATTAAAAACCAACCATAGGTGATAGTTAAGGATAAATCACAAAATTAACTCTATCTCCTAAACAAAGCAAAACCGTAGAGCATACAGGGGTAATTTAGATACACCTTGATGTAAAGAATCTAAATTTTAGCTTTTTTTATCAACAACGAGGAAGCTCTTGGCCTGTATCTCACCTGATGGTAAGTGATGATCAGGCCGAAGGTGGAGGCGAGCTTCACCCGGAAACCTCAACCACAGAGGAACTGGCTGTCTTACCTCTAACTGCCGGAACACAACAATGCTGTTAACATTGTTGTTATGGCGACAGACTTAGGTAAGATGGTGGTAGCTAGCCAGGCGGACTTAGAACAAGCCCTACCACCAACCAAACCGAACAGAAAAATCGTCCCCCACTGAAATCGAACCCGGGACCTCTGCGTCTGAAGGAGGTGGTCTTACCACTAGACCACAGAGGCGGTTTGAGCGGCGGTCAGCTTTGAACGTCAACTCCCTGGCCAGCCTGTATATTCAGTTAAAAAAACTGATGCGCGATGGTATAGATGCGATTGTATAAGGACAGTGAGTTCCAATTTCGATTATCTGTCAGATCCATGATCTTAGAATCTTCTTCCTTTCTAAATTGACTCGTTTCTGATGCTGGCGTCCTCGTAGTATAAATATGTACGTATATGTGGCCCGACCACGTTTACCAAGCTGTAGTTCCAATGAGTTACTAGCAATAACTATTAGTATCTCAAGGCATATAAATTAATGAAGCTACCCTCCGTGTATTACGATGTAATAGGAACTTTTGTTTAAATTAGCTGCGATAGCCGAGTTCCTCTGAACTGAAAACTACGTCCCCCAGATAACTCCAGTCTCATCAAACAAAGGCACTTTACGTTCTCTTTGTTGTTTTAACAGAACTTTGACCGACAAATTGGTTTTGAATTACTAAAATAGTGGTACAATTAAGGTCTAATAAACTATTACTACCAAAATGTAAAGGAGTAATAAAATGAGATAAACAGAATTAGGGCCAAGTCAACGAATGAAAGGTTAACTTGTGTACCAAAAATACGTAAACTTTGTAGTTTACGTATTGGATTATGTACTGGTTTATGTACTGTTCCGGTACGTAGGTACCTATATTTTGCATGCTTGTGACTTTTTAGTATTTACCAAGCTCTAGCGGTTTGTTAACTAAATAATCAATTACCGTGGTTACTAATATTTTATGTATTAGATGTTAATTAGTGAACAATCTTCATAATTCACTTAGGTACTTGAAAGAAATGGCATTAGAAAGAAATATTAAGGAAACATTCGGTACAATTGATAAAATATGTGCATATATTGGATCGCGTATTCAGGATATTTAAACCAACAATATGGAATGTATTCCCAACGGTAACAAACCCTGAAGATTCTAACACAATCAAAGACTACCTTCGGAGAAGCGCCGAAGTAACACATATCTTGATGAACTTTGTTTTATTGATGAGACTTGCCGTACCTACTTGCTCCACCAAGTTTCACCCTGGCTTCGGAGTTGTATGGAAGCAGCTCATATAAGTAATCTACTTGATATTACCTGAGTAGAAACTACTCATATTAAATAAATATTATTTACCTACTCTCAGAGTAGGTAGTGCAGGCTTTTTATCTTTTCCATCATCTCTCATGACAAACTTTAAGACACATAGTAGGTAGGTACTTAGTCTGATTTGCCCCTATTCTACTTTCACTGAGGTTTAATTGGAAACCAACTGTAGATTCTGACTATTCACAGTTGTAGTGGCCAAAAAATAATTACTTAGGTATTAATAACAGAAATTATATTACAGAAACGAATATGTTTATTTAAATCCTGCTTAAGTAAACCACCAAGAACTGTGATTTCATAACCTTGTTAAATGAATAATTTAACAATGAATTTAACAAGGTTATGAAATCACAGTTATAATTTTACCGCGTTAGAACAATGAAGTCCCTGGACAGCAGTAGGTATTAGGCGCATTTAAACGAAAATCAACAATAATATTGAGCACAAACCAAAACACGGCCACATGATAGGTAAATAGGTGTTGACTTTATTCAAACATTAAAAATATTATTCTTGCCACCGCTTCATTGGAGGGTCGATAGATAGCGTTCTTTGTATTCACAATTTCACATTTTCATAAAAGCGAACGGTATACTGACACAGGTAAAAGATACTTTTCCTGTGTAGTGGGAAAATGGAAAACAGCCTTAAGTTGATTCGTTAACCTTTCGTCTCACTTATCCGAACAAAATGATCCCTTTAGTTCGGGAAGCGTGAGCTGTATACTGAACAGTCTTTTAAATAAAACTTAGGTTAGGTACGTCAAGGCGAGTTGAACAGTAAAAGGAATATAATAGTTCGTTGGTCCTTTCGTCATTATGTCGTTAAACGCCTTCACGCAAATACTTATCCCAGTAATTATGAAATGAATTAGAAGGAGATAATAAGGATAAGCATCTAGATATAGAGAATGGAATAAAATTGTATTATACTTACTTAGGTACGTAAATGGTTATCAAATACAAATTATTATAGAGACTATTAGCGAGAGCTCTCGCTACTAATGATTTGACTTGACAACTCTACCACTGTCAATTCATAAGAACTCTCAAGACTCTTGATAAAGTGACAGATAGTTATTAATTAAATTATCTAATAAATCTATTTAACAATACATTCCTGCAATTACCGGTACCTACCCTAACGGTAGGATCTGCCAGATATCTCTATCTGAGACCTAAGAAACCAAAAGCTGAAAGTTTATAAGCGAATAATCATTATAGGCTATCAGCGACTTTATCAGGAAGTTGTTAAATATGATTATGGATTATAGTCTGAATTATTTTTTTCCATTTTTACCACCCATACTTACACCATATGAAGTGATCAATGCCCGTCCCACTCCATAGCAGCTATTTCTGATTTAATAAGCAAATAATATATTGTTGGTGAGACATTAATTACAGACTCACAATTTTATTTTATTTGCAACCAATAATTTTCATCTGAAGCCAATATTAACATTGTCGGTAGCCCTAATTGGAAATATGAAGAGGGTTTAGCAGCGACCGTATCGTTCGTGCTCACACGAAGAAAATTTTTTCCGCCAATCCACAGGCTAGCTAGAGCAGAAATAGAGCAGTCCTTGTAACATTATGGGTTAAGTAATGCTTAGGATTTAGATAATTTCCTAAATTGTGAGTTTTGGGCTTAGGTACTTATAGAATTTGTATGAATATTAATTTCAAAAGTGACAAAAAGAAAATACGAATTAATATCATTATTAACAAGAATTACTATTAATAAGTAAGTATTAAGTAAAGAACAAGACGAACTGTAAACGTGCTTGGCCAGACTGCACACGAGTCAAACTTATTTAAGAAAGAGTGTGTGAGCTTTGAGTGTACTAGTTATTATTTAAACAACTCTTATTTTCAGATGATAGGCTCAGAAAATTAAAAACTTCGGGGTTAATAACGGGACTAAGTACTCCCATCTCTCGTTCCCACCACCGCTTTTTCTATGAAACTAGGAATCAGGATCTACAACTTGATCGCTAACAAATACTCAACCAGTGAAAGCCCAGTTTGTCCTTGTAAAGGTTACTGTTATTCAAGGAATCGAATGTCTTCAATGGATTAGCAAAGGATTGATTGAGGTCGACAAAACTTAATAAGTAGCCTTGCTTGACCATGACCATAGGTAGGACTATAGAAATGGAACGTAATTATTTCCCCATTTTAAAAGTTACATTTGTTTACAAAAGTACTATTGTATTGCACTTACCAAAATGGAGAATGAATTTATTAACGAGGAAATTTTATTAAGCCTACTCTATCATGAAATCAATGTTTAGAATTCGGTCAGTTTGATTTCTAAACGGACATGTTGACTGTTGGCATTTAGGACTATCCAACCAAATGCAAAAGAACGTCATCCCACTAACACAAGTTTCTCTATCTCTTTCTAGCTTTAATATGATACGTAACTACTAGCGCCACTTAAAAAAGTAAAGCTGAAAGCAAAACTAAATTAAATTAGGGTGGTTAATAGCAAATGGCATCGGCCATGGGAACGATTTGACAGTTCGAATAAATGCTGAGCAGGGAATACGAAAGAAAGAAACTATTTTTAACGTTTGCTTCGACCAACTAATAACTTACTTATGATAATCAATAAATAGTAATTCTATAGTGTTATAATTAAAATGTAATCGTATCAATTATTATTATAATTTCAAAACAAAGTCTATCAGATGTTTCGAGGTTGCAAAGTGTCTGTGTTCAATGTTATCATTATTTGTGTTGTTTTATCAGTGAAGTAAATAGATATGATGAACAACATGACAGACAGCAAAGCTTTAACCATGGGGCCAGCAAATGGTCTTATGGATAAATCCAAGGAACTCCAGAAAGAAATTCTTATGGAGAAACTAAGATCTAAAACTTCACAATACAAAAATTTGTCGGAGACTTCAAAAGCAGTTCGAATGGCATTACTGGTATGCGAAAACTATTTCTTCATAATTATACAGTTAATTTAATACTGTTCAATTGACAATATTATGTGAATTACTCTTTAGGACAAGCGCTGGGCTGTGGACAGTCAAGACCGCATGATTCTTCAAAAGTGCTTGGACAGTCTTCAGCACTGCATCAAGATAAGCTCTCTTCAAAGCCTCATTGAGAGACTCGAGTGTCTGTCGCGACAACTTGGGTTAGTAAACTCTATATTCAAATTTTGTCTAAATGTAGTCATAGTCATAAATGTTCATTGCATCATGTTGGTACATTTGGATCTTAAATACAGAGTCCTGAATCATGTAAGTGAATTGCAGCAATTAAAAATAATATTTACTGTATATTTGTTAAAATATCCACATTTACATACTTCTACATGCATGTACCTGTGAATTCAGCTAAAAATAGGTCTTTTTTCACAAATAACTGTATAAAAAAAATATTACAGGCTTAAGTTTGTTGTTGGGACCTCCGGTGTTAATCTATTCATATCATCCGATATGTTTTACCTTGAGATACTTGTGGAATCATCTGGCTCAATCAAAGATGTCAAGATTCATCATGAAGGAAAGGTATGCTATATTTTACCTCTGTTGATTTAAGTGTTGTTTATTCATTTAATTAAACTATGTATAAAGTAGGTACTTATTGATTTATTTTTTGTCTTTTAGATTGAACAACAAAGTTGTGAAGAATTGGTTTCCTGTATATCTCGGGGTGACTTTGCTGATTTTACTGCTCAATTAGAAGGTCTAACAGCTGTCTACCAGTTAAATGCTGAGAAAAAGGTAAGTTTATATTAATATATTTGCATAGCTGGGCACCGTTAATCAAATAGTTAACTTCGTTAATCGTTAAACCGTTAATAAAAAAATTAATTTCGTTAAACGTTAAAACGTTACATTTCGCAAGATTTAACGGAAGTTAGCGTTAATCGTTAATCCGTTAACACATGATAATAAAACGAACAAAAAATGTATGCAAGGTTCAAATAATTTCGAAAGCTTGTATCGCGCATGGACTTTATTCCTCTTTTATTTTTGCATAAGTACCTACAATTACTTTTTTCGTTTTAGTACAACTGCATTTCAGAATAAAAGTTTGTTTTTAAAAAAGTTTTTCAATATTATTTAATTTTATTTTACACTTTTTATTATTAGTATCTCAATCTCAGAGCCTTGGTTCAATTACAATACAATTTAGCACCAAAGTGCTCGAAAAGACAAATCCAACAAACCCAAACTCGATAAGTTTCCACCGTTTCGTTTAGGAGTTCCTATGACCTCCTAACTCCACCATCAGACCAGCTCAATGGTACCATAACATTGCATTGTCATCGTACTTACATTATACCAAACAGCTCAATCGGTTGAGGAAAACTGGTCATAAATTCAGTTGCAAGATTTGTCCCACACATACTAACAAGTGAAGTCAAAAATATAAAGCTTGTAAACAAATAAATAAATATCATTTTTTATATCGTTTCGTTAGTGATCTGGTTACAAAAACTGTTGTTTTGTGTTCTGGAAGTTCTGGAAGCCCGAACGTACTTGTCAGAACGCGTTTTTCTAGCGTTTTTCAGCGTGCCTGCTGTATCTTTTTGGTAAATAGTAGGTACTGGATTAACGATTAACGGACTTAGGATTATTAAACGGAAGTTAACGAGTCCGTTAACAATTTTTAAAGTTAACTTAAAAGTTAATCCGTTAATAGAAATGTTAACTTCGTTAATTAACGATTAACGGATTAACGAGTTAATGCCCAGCTATGTATATTTGAATGTAAATACAATACAAAAACAATGTTTTTTATTCTATACTCACAATTAAATAACTATGTATAAACAATATTTATAGGTGAAATGCAAAGCATTCAGTGCCCTGCAGAGCTTGGAAGAAGATCTTTGCACCTTAAGGCAGCTGCAAAGCTTCATCAAAGATCCATGGGCACAGGTTCATAAGAGCCCCATTGGGTTCCTCCAAAAACGAAGGGGAGGTAATGTATAGAACATTCTTTATATTATTTTTGTTTTTAATACCACATTACGCATATGGAATGGAATATAGTTTCNATAATAAGTAAGTCTTGTACATTTTAATACAGGTCACGCTATGCGGCTCACATACTTCGTATCACCTTATGAACTTCTGGATAAAGACAAAGGCCTTCAACCACTCACAGTAGAACTCTTAACACTGGGCAAACCTCAAGCTTCGAGCGGTCTCGCTTCTTTGGTGGCTCCAACTCACACTCCCATTGGGCATTCAGCTACAGTCCTGTTGGAGGGCTCTACCGCTAACAAGCTGCAGTTGCAGTCTATTATATCTGGTGGCGGCCAAAGGCCAGGAAAAGGGTAAGTTAGAAATACAGAGTTTGTTTGAATTACGTAAAGAATTTTTTTTTTTTCATCTATAATATAAAAATGAATCGCAAAATGTGTTGGTAAGCGCATAACTCAACAACGCCTGGACCAATTTTACCAATTCTTTTTTTAAATGTTCGTTGAAGTCCAAGGATGGTTTTTACGGAGAGAAAAAAATCGAATTATTTCCGGGAAAACCCTAAAAAAAACTCGAAACTTCATCCCTAAGGGGGTAAAACGGGATCCACGCGTACGAAGTCGCGGGCGGCCGCTAGTATTTAATTATTTTTATCAGCTGCACGTGGTTTGAAAATTGGCACACGTGGATAATTTACTTCGTTCATAGAAAAATACGTACATACTGTATACTGCAAAGCTTAATAGACATGCGCGAATTAGAATACCTACCACGAATTAGATTTTAAATGTGCTACCACAGTGTACCAGGTGTCAACAATATGGACATACCAAAAACAACTGTATGCGTCCATACAGGTGTGTTAAATGCGCACAAGGACACAAAACTACTGACTGCCACAAAAAGGATAGAAACTTGCCCGCTACCTGTGCCCTCTGCCAAGGTGATCATCCAGCCAACTACAAAGGCTGCCAAGTCTATAAGGAGATCCGTTCACGAAAAATGGTTCAAGCTGGGACTAGAAGAGCCCCACAAGACAAGACAAAAGCCACAGACACCTTTACACCTCGAGTGGAAGATTTCCCTCCGCTAAGACTCCCCAGACACAATACACAACATCCGAAAAATGACCAGGAAAAAAACAATCTGCGCCCAGCCGAAAGCGTATCCAATACTGCAAATANAAATGTGCTTTTTTTTTTCGCAAAAACTACCATAATTAAAAATAATTTAGATAAAGTTGTATTGTTAATTGGTTAAATTGTTCTATACTGCTTATTGAAAAAATTGGATACTGATTGCAGAATCACCTGTATAGTGCACTTAAAACTTTTTATCATGCTAAAAGATAGCATTAACTTAAAAATGCTAAAAGATAGCATTTTTCAGTGTTTAACTTAATTAATTTTAATTTCTTTGTGCTTTAGGAATGGCCCGGTATACGCACCGCTGGTGCCTCAAAACAGTGCTATGTTGCCAGCATGTTTCACTCTGAAGCTGTCCCAACCTACACCTATGTGTTCTGGGCTAGCAAAACTCATACATGCTACAACTGAGGTAATTATATGAATAAAAACGATTTTAGAGAAACTATAGTTAGATGATGCTTATTTTCTGCACTTAGACTTTTGATTAGGTCATTGAATAGAGAAAATGTAACAAATGTTACTATTCTGAGTATAAATTTGTCTATATTTTACTGTAGTCTTGTTTAATGTTCAGTTCATTTTCTCAGGTGGAGGTGGCTGGTGACTGGGCGAATGCGAAGCCATTGCTAGGCCTCGTGGCCCAGCAAGCCTACAACAAGCTCGCACCAGGCAAGATTATAGAGCTGAATCTAAGCAAAGGATTGTTTGTAGTAAGTATAAACATACTTGACATTTACTCATTACTCATTTCTTCTTCTTTTCCCTAGCCCTTTTTCCTATTATTTGGGGTCGGCTCTCCATGTTCTGAGGCGCCAGGACAGTCTATGGGCAGTTGAAATATTTGTCTGGGCATTGGCTACCATAGACCGCCAGGTGGCCAGTAGGCGTCCTCTACATTTACACATTATATTTGAATCTTCTAATTAGTTTAGTGAAGTTTTGCTTGTTATTCATGGTTTATTCCACTTTTTTCACCTGGGTGAAATGGTTTTGAGGTGAAATGAAGACACTTAAAATCTACTTTGGTTCACCCAAGTAAACAAAGTGGAATAAACCGTTATTCATATATCGCACCTACGGTGCAATAACGTCACTTATGCATTTTTTTTTTCAAAACAACTGATTATGAGAAAATACTCCAAATCTACCTCTTTACTTGGTTTACTTTGATTCAGTTAAGTTTTGAAAAAAAAATGCATAAGTGACGTTATTGCACCGTAGGTGCGATATGTATATCCTTTTTTTTTAATTTCTTAAAATAGTATTAATAAATATTTGAAGTAGGTATTGATAAAAAAAATTAAAATGTTCTATTACAGAACCTTCCCGAGCAGACTCAGTGCTACTTCTTGTGCGAGACTCGCGGGCTCGAAGGCTGCGTGGTGACGAGCGTCCCGTTCACTCACCCGTCGCACGTGCCGCCGCTGCTGGCCTGTCTCCGGCAACAGGCGCTCTTCAACGCGCTGGTGGCAAGCTGCGTGCGTTTGCAGACCAAGCAAGGTAGAACCTAGTCTTTATTACTTTACGAGTTAATGCTGCTTTTACACTGCGCGGAAATTGGCCAAGTCAAGTCAAAAAAACAGTGGGGTGGGGATGAAAAATGAATGAATTTCATCCCCACTCCTCTCTGTTTTTTTGACTTGACTCGGTTAATTTCCGCATAGTGTAAATCCAGCACAAGACGAAAACTTCAAGAGATTGCTCATAGAGTGGTAACATAGATTACAGCAACCGTGCCTTAACTATACAGAGTGGAAATGATAAGTAATTTCGATTATTTCTAAACTAAACAAGATATCGAAAAACTGATTACTGATCCTGAAAGTGCTTCACGAGCTCATTCAAACGATATCACTAATAGGTTACAGAATAAACTGGATCTATTCAAAAATTCAATGTTACTAGCTTCCATACATTTAGTACAGCCACACAATATTAAAAACTTACTTACTTATCGTTTCTACCCTGTATACTGATAAGGCAAAATATTGTGCCGGACGGTATGGGGTAGCAACCCTGTGCGGACCCTGAATACCGTACGCCGACACGGCGCGATGCGGGGTGCAGCGCGAGCGGGAGAGCGAGACGAAGGGGGCGGGGAGCGCAGAAATAATAACTCGGTTGTGGTTGAGACTGTGACCGGTTCCTCGGAGCAGTGGCGAGAGCTTGGTGTTGTAGCTTGTTGAGGAGAAAACGCGGAACTGACTGGGTCCGGATGGCACCCCGATATTTATTTACTTTCATTAGAGTGAGAAAACCTCGTTGCCTCTCGCTCTAATGAAACAGCAAATCTATTGCCCTCTCTCTCTAATTTAGACCCCCCCTGGGCGGCAATACCGTATAGAGAGCCTGTTTTTTATCTATTCGGTGACCTATTTTTTAACTATGACCTTGACCTAATTCTTATCGGATTCTAATTAGCTCTTCCACTATTCTTTGGAATCTATGTTATTTATTTTCAGACAAATTACTTCTTACTATTCGATAGGTAAATAAAGGTACACAGGTACAGGGTTAATTACACTAACTTTTGCAATGAAAATTGTACTACTTATTTCTCATTCTAATTATTTGCAGAGTTGAATTCAGGGATTACATTATTAAAGCTGTTATTGAAGGAATGATAACTACTAGACATAAAATAATTCCAAAAAATCTCTTTACTAGAGAGTATTTACGAATCTAAGCTGCTAACCTGCTTTTTCGGTATAGCTGGAAGAAGATGAGCCCCTTTGCATTCTCTTCTTGCAACTTCACTCCATAGAAGACCGTCGTGGTGACGCCTCCTTACTTCGACAACGAAGACAAATTCATCCGCTTAGCTCGCTTATTTGATCGTTGGCTGACGGGCGTCCCCGGTGGTGTACCGGCTTCATATTCAGACGTCATTGTCCTCAACTGTGAAATAAAGTTCTCGACGGAATAAACTGTGTATGACAAGCATCAACTTAAAATTTTATGGGGCTATGTTCAATTTTTATTTCCTATTCAAAACCAAAAATAAAATCTAAAAATATATTGCTTGACAAATATTGTATGCTCTTCTTTGCTTTGCCACTGTTAGATACATGTAACAATTTTACTTATGCTTTATAAATAAAGATGTTCAGTTTGTATTTTAGTCAGTGCAACCCTCATACACAACTGCGACGACTGGATGGCTCGCTTAACATACCAGCAAAATCCTGCCCGAAGTCGGCAAGCACACCTAGTGCGTCTCTTAACCTACAATATTAGGTGGGTAAAACATTATGAAAAAGAAACTGGAAAGGCTAAAAGCTAGCTATCAAGCTAAAAAAATTATCCACTATGGGCACAACGCTAACGCTTCATAACTAAAATCAAGGACACACTTGGCCCATCGGCACACCTGGCCGCTAACTTAAAAATTATGGNTAGTGGTGTATACTTTTCCTAGCGGAACCCTATTGTGATAAATGGAAATTAAAAACAATAGTTTTTATGCAATTATTTGTAAACAAGTCGGTGCGCGCGAACAACGTCGATCACGAAACGTGGGATAATATCTTTTACGGAACCCTTGCGGCCTTTCCACGGAACCCCAGGGTTCCGCGGACCACCTTTCGGGAACCACTGACATAGATAACAGCAACCGTGTCTTATTTATACAGGGTGAAAACGATAAGTAATCTCACTCGATTATTTCTAAACTAAACAAGATATCGAAAAACTGATTACTGATCCTGAAAGTGCTTCACGAGCTCATTCAAACGATATCACTAATAGGTTACAGAATAAACTGGATTACAGCCACACAATATTAAAAACTTACTTACTTATCGTTTCTACCCTGTATACTGATAAGGCAAAATATGTTAAGGTTAATGCGGCTCTGCGCTCTGCTACTGCGCTTTTTCATGTCGAGTTGTGAGCCAACCTCATATTCATTGTGAAAAGGACAAAGCATAGAGGCCGTATATTCGTCAGACATATGTTTAGCCAACTGTATGATACTTGATCGATACTTACTTGATACTATGAGATTCATGACGATCTAATGAATATGATAAATTGCATGTAATCTATGATACTTAACTAGGTGTTTGTTTTGTGTTTTTCAGTTTTGGACCTCGAAAGCGTGCTGATGTTCGAAGTCAGCGCCCTCTCGTGGCAGCACATCTCCATCTCACTGGAGCACCCATTAGACGAGAGCATGGCGACCGTAGAACTGGAGCTGTCCGACCCGGCCGCGCCCCGGGCCTCAGTCTACACTCTCAACTCGCCGCCGAGAGAACATATAGATGATTATATCAGCCGGGTTCTCCAGAAGAGCCACTCGATACCCATCACTTTGAGGTGAGTGACCGTGACGTCAGCACATCTCTATCTCACTAGAGCACCCTTTGAACTGGAGCTGTCCGACCCGGCCGCGCCCCGTGCCTCGGTCTACACTCTCAACTCGCCGCCGAGAGAACATATAGATGATTATATCAGCCGAGTGCTGCAGAAGAGTCACTCGATACCCATCACTTTGAGGTGAGTGACCGTGACGTCAGCACATCTCTATCTCACTCGAGCACCCTTTGAACTGGAGCTGTCTGGCCCGGCGGCGCCCCGGGCCTCGGTCTACACTCTGAACTCGCCACCGAGAGAACATATACAACCAGGTATTATTGAAAAATTGTGGTCGTGGTAATGTAAAATATCATAAGGTGTGTCAATTTTCGTTGAATTTCATCATTTATTGTGTAAGTTAAAAAATAATTGAGATAGATTTTTTTCCTTATTTTTCCTAAAGTAGTCAACTCATGACTATGTCCATCCTGTGGCGTCGGCTTATCCTTGAATTTTGGGACACGTTGTATACATAGTTGGTCAGGGAATTTTTAAAAAAATGTCAGGGAAAGTCAGGGAAAAGTCAGGGAATTTTTTAGAACATTTGCAGTGGACACCCTGATATAGATGATTATATCAGCCGGGTTCTCCAGAAGAGCCACTCGATACCCATCACTTTGAGGTGAGTGACCGTGACGTCAGCACATCTCTATCTCACTAGAGCACCCTTTGAACTAGAGCTGTCTGACCCGGCGGCGCCCCGTGTCTACACTCTCAACTCGCCGCCGAGAGAACATATAGATGATTATATCAGCCGAGTGCTGCAGAAGAGTCACTCGATACCCATCACTTTGAGGTGAGTGACAGTGACGTGACGTCAGCACATCTCTTCCACTAGAGCACCCTTTGAACTGGAGCTGTCCGACCCGGCGGCGCCCCGGGCCTCGGTCTACACTCTCAACTCGCCGCCGAGAGAACATATAGATGATTATATCAGCCGGGTTCTCCAGAAGAGCCACTCGATACCCATCACTTTGAGGTGAGTGACATTGACGTGACGTCAGCACATCTCCTCCACTAGAGCACCCTTTGAACTGGAGCTGTCTGACCCGGCGGCGGCCCGTGTTCGGTCTACTCTAGGCCCTATTTCATCAATTTTAATATGTTTATCTCTTAAAAAAATGTCATTTCATGATTATAAAACTTTTCAACCTGTGCACGGGAGGGCTTCTAACTAATGTTAAAGCCCGGTCTGTGAGCACGTAGAATTTTGTCCAATGACCCCAAGCTACCCATTCTTATCGCTCGCGCGTAATTACAATATTGCTGTCGCGACAGTGCGACGGGCGCCCGCAGTGAGTGTGCAACCGCGACAGCAACATAATTACACGCGAACCCCTAAGAGTTTCCTACTTACCGAAGTGGCCGTGGTCGTCACACCTGGTTTGGTAGCAAGCTTCACAATCCGTCGCTATTCCTTCCGCATTGCAGCCTTTCTTGTGCACTCGTGGAATGGACCATTAAGTGTGGTTTTGACCTGATCAGTCCAGCGCATGGGCGACCTGGCACGCGCTCTTGTGCCCTCAACCTTCCCCTGCACGTTTCCTACACTGCCTGGGTTCCCCTGTAGCCCAGGGACCCTGTATGACCCTTGGTGACTCCCGTGTAGTACGAATGAAGTTAAACTATGATCCGTCTTTGTTTATCAGGTCGCTAGTAAAAATCTGGGAGCGCGAAGCAGCCACGAAGCAGATGAACGGCGGCTACTCGGCCCTGGAGTCGAATTTTAGCTGCGGCCTGGGGGGCATGGATCCCGGGGGCGAGCACGTGAAGCACGAGCCCGGGACCATGCACGGCCGAGCTCTCTACCCCTCCAGCGTCAGCCACCCGCACCAGGGCGGTGAGTACCAGCCACACCTTTCAGGCCGTTCACACACTATGCCCCAGTAGCAGCTATCTAGCAGTAGCTTGAGTAGCTTCCCGTGGATTTAGATGGAGCCTTACATACGATGCTACATTTTTGCATGGTGTCCATACAGAATTACAGATCCAAAGAAGGCAGCGGTGGTGTCGCTGCCTAAATAATTAGCGATTATTGCGAACCATAGCAGATGATTGCAAACTAATTAGGGAAAAACTATATGTTAAGTGCCCGGTATTTTAAGTAGACCACAATAACAAAAAACTCACAACATTTTACAAAGTTTTTCGCCTTAACCCAGGTTTTTGTTTATAATTTTTTGTAACTTCATAACTTTGGTTTTAAATACTAGCACATTTTATCACCTGTATAGTTTTTTAACAATGAACACATGATAAGGTATCGGGAAATCCAAATAGAAGAAACACACTGTATAACATTAGAAAGATAGAAGCTTCTAAGTTTGTCCACAAAAGGAAGGTATTTTAACTGCTTGAGCGTTACTTGTCTTAAAAATACTTTTTCCTTTATCTTTACAGGCGCATACCTGTCTGAACAGCAGCACCACCTCTCAATGATATGCCAAGACCCCAACGCGGGGGACAGCAAGTCCCAGGTGTCTGAAGAACGAAAGTCCAAAAAGAGGAAGTCCGACATAGATCCTTGGTCGGCGAACCAAAAAAAGGGCAAACCCGGCCTCAGCGAAATGCCAGACTCGGAAAGCGACATGGAAAACTCCGATGGATACGTCAACGAAGACGATAACACTATGAACAGTAACTCGACCAACGACGACATTGAAGGCAGGGAGTCGTCGGTTTCCCAAAACGAGTTCGCGTCAGATCTGGAACTGTCGGGCATGGACGCGGACGCCCTGGGCGGACCAGACAACAGGACCTCCTCCGATATGGACAACTCTAATGATGGCGATGTGGAAGATATTATCAGGTTCGTGACTACTACCTTATTTACTTACTTTTACCAGGCCTGTTCATCTCCGCGAGTTTACATCGAAAACAAAAACGCACGATGGCACCCTACAGGATTACTATTCCACAAGGCCTAACATACGAGCGAGCATTGACTCACGCACGCGTATTCTTGTGTATGATGGAAAAAAATAAAGAAAATGGTGTACTAAATACATACTGTGCAGTATTTAACTGCCTAAATAATAATAAAAACACAGAATGTACTTTTTTAAGTTGCCTGAAGACACTTAGAGGTNTGTTTTCTAAGGGAAGGCGCTGGATGCAGGCCGCTACCAACCGTGCGATGTGGAAGTCATTGGGGGAGGCCTATGTTCAGCAGTGGACGTCCTGTGGCTGAAATGATGATGATGATGATGATGTTTTCTAAAATAAACTATGATTTATACATCTCCAACGTCCCACATACGCCTATTAATCAGTAATTAAGGACTCGACACATTACTAATTGAGAACTAACTGAGAACCAACTAAGAGAAAGTGGACTGTATTACGAAGTTAAACTATTTACTGTCAAACTATATAAACGAAATAAAAACGATACAAAATTGAAACAAAACGAAAACTATTTACAACTATTTAAATTTCTATTCGGGGCCGTCCGTCGTGCACAAATATGTTAAGGTTGATGCGGCTCTGCGCTCTGCTACTGCGCTTTTTCATGTCGAGTTGAGCCAACCACATATTCATTGTGAAAAGGACAAAGCATAGAGGCCGTATATTCGTTAGACATATGTTTAGCCAACTGTATGATACTTGATCGATACTTGATACTATGAGATTCATGACGATCTAATGAATATGATAAATTACATTTAATCACGCTATGATACTTAACTTTTTTTGGGTTTTCAGTTTTGGACCTCGAAAGCGTGCTGATGTTCGAAGTCAGCGCCCTCTCGTGGCAGCACATCTCCATCTCACTGGAGCACCCGTTGGACGAGAGCATGGCGACCGTCGAACTGGAGCTGTCCGACCCGGCCGCGCCCCGGGCCTCGGTCTACACTCTCAACTCGCCGCCGAGAGAACATATAGATGATTATATCAGCCGGGTTCTCCAGAAGAGCCACTCGATACCCATCACTTTGAGGTGAGTGACCGTGACGTCAGCACATCTCTATCTCACTAGAGCACCCTTTGAACTAGAGCTGTCTGACCCGGCGGCGCCCCGTGTCTACACGCTCAACTCGCCGCCGAGAGAACATATAGATGATAATATAAGCAGAGTGCTGCAGAAGAGCCACTCGATACCCATCACTTTGAGGTGAGTGACCGTGACGTCAGCACATCTCTATCTCACTAGAGCACCCTTTGGACTGGAGCTGTCTGACCCGGCCGCGCCCCGGGCCTCGGTCTACACTCTCAACTCGCCGCCGAGAGAACATATAGATGATTATATCAGCCGAGTGCTGCAGAAGAGCCACTCGATACCCATCACTTTGAGGTGAGTGACCGTGACGTGACGTCAGCACATCTACTTCACTAGAGCACCCTTTGAACTGGAGCTGTCCGACCCGGCAGCGCCCCGGGCCTCGGTCTACACTCTCAACTCGCCACCGAGAGAACATATAGATGATTATATCAGCCGGGTTCTCCAGAAGAGCCACTCGATACCCATCACTTTGAGGTGAGTGACAGTGACGTGACGTCAGCACATCTACTTCACTAGAGCACCCTTTGAACTGGAGCTGTCCGACCCGGCCGCGCCCCGGGCCTCGGTCTACACTCTCAACTCGCCGCCGAGAGAACATATAGATGATTATATCAGCCGAGTGCTGCAGAAGAGTCACTCGATACCCATCACTTTGAGGTGAGTGACAGTGACGTGACGTCAGCACATCTCCTTCACTAGAGCACCCTTTGAACTGGAGATATCTGACCCGGCGGCGCCCCGGGCCTCGGTCTACACGCTCAACTCGCCGCGGAGAGAACATATAGATGATTATATCAGCCGAGTGCTGCAGAAGAGTCACTCGATACCCATCACTTTGAGGTGAGTGACCGTGACGTCAGCACATCTCTATCTCACTAGAGCATCCTTTGAACTGGAGCTGTCCGACCCGGCGGCGCCCCGGGCCTCGGTCTACAGTCTCAACTCACCACCCAGGGAACACATCGATGACAACATCAGTCGAGTGCTGCAGAAGAGCCACTCGATACCCATCACTTTGAGGTAAGTGACAGTGACGTGACGTCAGCACATCTTTACTAGAGCACCCTTTGAACTGGAGATGTCTGACCCGGCCGCGCCCCTGGCCTCGGTCTACACTCTCAACTCGCCGCCGAGAGAACATATAGATGATTATATCAGCCGAGTGCTGCAGAAGAGCCACTCGATACCCATCACTTTGAGGTGAGTGACAGTGACGTGACGTCAGCACATCGACTTCACTAGAGCACCCTTTGAACTGGAGCTGTCTGACCCGGCGGCGCCCCGTGTCTCGGTCTACTCTAGGCCCTATTTCATCCATTTGAAGATGTTTATCTCTTAAAAAAACGTCATTGCATGATTATAAAACTTTTCAACCTGTGCACGGAATGACTTCTAACTAATGTTAGACCCCCAAGAGTTTCCTACTTACCATAGTGGCCGTGGTCGTCCGTCACACCTGGTTTGGTAGCAAGCTCCACAATCCGTCGCCATTCCTTCCGCATTGCAGCCTTTCTTGTGCACTCGTGGAATGGACCATTGAGTGGGGTTTTGACCTGATCAGTCTAGCACATAGGCGATCTGCCACGCGCTCTTGTACTCTCAACCTTCCCCTGTGCGTTTCCTACACTGCCTTATGGTTAGTCCGGCCTGGGTTACCCTGTATGACCCTTGGTGACTCGTGTAGTACGAATGAAGTTAAACTATGATCCGTCTTTGTTTATCAGGTCGCTAGTAAAAATCTGGGAGCGCGAAGCAGCCACGAAGCAGATGAACGGCGGCTACTCGGCCCTGGAGTCGAATTTTAGCTGCGGCCTGGGGGGCATGGATCCCGGGGGCGAGCACGTGAAGCACGAGCCCGGGACCATGCACGGCCGAGCTCTCTACCCCTCCAGCGTCAGCCACCCGCACCAGGGCGGTGAGTACCAGCTAGTTGGCATTAGGGTTTACCATAGAGATATAGAGACACTGACTTAGCCCGACGGATTAGCAAGCTAAAGTGGCAATGGGCTGGTAAAGGTAGCAGGAAGGCGCTGGATGCAGGCCGCTACCAACCGTGCGAAGTGAAAGTCTTATGTTCAGCAGTGGACGTCCTGTGGCTGAAATGATGATAGAGAGATGCCAACTAATGTTCTGAGTTCGAAACTCAGTGTCGCATTAGAAATTCACACACACAATCAAATCAAAATATGTGCTAATTATCCACTGTATCAGTACTCAACATTCGAATAATGTTTAGTACTACGCAAGCAATGTAAGCTGTTTACATTATGACGTCGCTGCTGTCAGCATTGCTTTCACGAGCAATGTGTTCTGTTTTTGGGCATATTGCTGCAACACCGGCCCCGCCCCCATGTCACATTTCCCTTTAGTTTCTGTGATCTGTGGGTTTTACTTAGGCTTCACCCGCGTGAATTTTATAGCCTATTAAAACCCGTTCAGTAGTTTTTGCGTAAGGGCCTTTACTAAAATATGCGCGAGCACTTAGATTTAGTGTCCGCTCCGGACATGTGGCGCGGGAAGGCGCTTCGCGCTGGTTTAACCGGCAACTAAATAAATAAGCGCAACCGGCCCGGTTGTGCCCTGCTTTTTAGTTGTATACGGGCCGCGGTAGCTTAGCGTAGACCCTAAAAGGTCGAATAACAAACATCCATCGATTCTCACAAACTCTCATTTATATCATTAAGATAGAAGATTCAAGTTTATGTCCGAAGATGGTATTTCGATGTCCGAGTATGTACTGGTCTTAAAAAAATATATAAAACCCTGTATCTTTACAGGCGCATACCTGTCTGAACAGCAGCACCACCTCTCAATGATATGCCAAGACCCCAACGCGGGGGACAGCAAGTCCCAGGTGTCCGAAGAACGAAAGTCCAAAAAGAGGAAGTCCGACATAGATCCTTGGTCGGCGAACCAAAAAAAGGGCAAACCTGGCCTCAGCGAAATGCCAGACTCGGAAAGCGACTTGGAAAACTCCGATGGATACGTCAACGAGGACGATAACACCATGAATAGTAACTCGACCAACGACGACATTGAAGGCAGGGAGTCGTCGGTTTCCCAAAACGAGTTCGCGTCAGATCTGGAACTGTCGGGCATGGATGCGGAAGCCCTGGGCGGACCAGACAACAGGACCTCCTCCGATATGGACAACTCTAATGATGGCGATGTGGAAGATATTATCAGGTTCGGGACTACTACCTTATTTCCTTACTTTTACATACCTTTTGGTGTTCAGACAATATTCTTATAAAATACTGAACCTACAAGAAACTCACCGAATTGTGCTTTGTTCCAGGAATTCTTTTCAGAAGTCTGATCACAAAAGGCAAAAGCTGAAAAGCAAAGACTCGGAAGCGAGAAGTAATAGGAGCACATCTTCTCTGCTCCTCGACTTGACTGAAGGTAAATCGTACATGCCGTCATCTGTGAGCATCACGCCCATAGGGACCAACGCAGCGAATACTGCGCGCTCTGAATCCGGGTCCAGTATCAGCTCCATGCTCTGCCTCGATCGTCGCCCGGGAATCGAGATCATACCTATCACCGCGGCAGCACCCGCCACTCTACCCAGCTCCATAACAATAACACCCATAACCTCATCTCAACTCAAGTCGCTCGACGAACGCCATCGCTCCGAAAAGAAATCCAGCAAATCAGGCGAAGAACGGAGCAAGGAAAAGAAAAAGAAGCGACGCCGAGACGACTCCATGGGACCACCAGAAAAAGTGCCACCGAAGCAAGACCCGCTGACAAAACCCGTGTCTGTCAGCATCAAACCCACGGACGGTTCACCCATGCGTTCGACGTCCCCGAATTCGCTGCTGAGAAAATTTAGTCCGAGTCCCACCCATGGTAGGTCTGTCTCCATCACAAAATCTCCGAGTCCCAGCACGGTTAAAGGTATGGGAAAACCGTCTGGCACGTCTAGTCATCACAGTAGCCCCCGACACTCGCCGGTACAAAACAGCCCAAAACACTTGCCAGGGTATTCGAGCCCAAAAAACCATAGTATCTCTTCCCCTAAACATAGTTCTTCGGGGTCGGGAAAACCGAGCATGTCAGCTTTAAAATCTGCCACCAGTGGTTCACCGTCCGGCAAATCCGGTACCACAGGTTATGATTTATCAAAAAAGATGTCAAAAGACAGCTACGGATCGAGCTCTGTGTCCTCCAGGGACAAGGAGAAAAAACATTCCAGTTTGTCTTTTTCCAGTTCCGATAGAAGTAGTCCGAAGTTAAAAAACCCGGTAAAATTAAAACAACTCGAAATAACCCCAGTATCGTGCGACAGCCCCGTCACTGAACCGCTAATATCCCCACCAAACGTCGAAGTAAACAAGTCTAATGCTCCGAGTCAAGCTCGGAATAGGAAGGGCTCTCTCAGCGCTGTGATAGATAAATTGAAATCTGCTCAACATTGCGGCACCGACACTGAACTAAGCGGTACCAAATCTAGTAGCTCGTCCAGTAGTACTAACAAATTCTCAGACCCAAAAAACAGTACAGCTAGTAGTAGTTCCAAAATGAGTGAAAGCAAAAATCAAGAATATATGGTCAAACCCAGTCTAGACGGTATGAAAATCACCATTAATAAAACAAGAACAAAAGAATCTTCTAGTAGTGGTTCAAAATTGAACTACAGCAGTTCAAGTTCCAGTAAACAATCTTCCCCGCAACTAACTCCCCCGAGCCAGGGCTCGCCTAAGACGCACACAGGCCTGAAGCCTGGCGTCATTAGCGGCCCGGCGTCAAAGAAAACACAAGTCCTCCAGTCATCAAAGTCCAGTAGCGTGACTACAGGATCTACACCACCGAAAGCTAATATGAGTCCCTCAGAATCGTCAAGTTCTGGTAATAGCAGTCTACCCAAAGTGCCTTATTCTAAATCTTCTAGTACCAGTAGCGCTGGTATTAATTTGTCCAAATCGGCATCGAAATCTAGCTCCGGTTCACCCAAAAGTAGTAGTATGGACATTGCCAAAATAATAAGAGACAGGGAACGAGAAAAAGCCAGGACCAAACTCACCAGTAATTCTGAAAAATCTATATTCGCTTCAAAGTCTGAGAGGCACTCAAGCCCCAGTGGCTCGAGGGATGACGTTGACGGAGACAGGTATAAATCTAAAGAAGCCAACTTTCTAGTCGAGGGTCTGATCAAGCCTCTCGATACAAGCAAATTCCAAATACCCAAACTTAAAAATCAAAGCACTCCGGACAAAAATAGCCCGGTATCACAGTACGACAGTCGGTCTTTGGTGAACGATTTTGCTAGAGGATTAGATCAGAGCAAATATTCTTTTTCTCATTTCGACAACTCGAATTCGAGGCCTTCCGACCTACAAAAATCCGCCTATCCGCTAAACGTACCGAAACCCTTACTGAACATGGGTGGAATGAGTCCGAAAACCGTTCAGCCTAACAAGGTGGACCAATCCGATCGGCCTATAGAATATTCTAAGGCCATCGACAGCTTAAAGGGCGAGAGCCCCCAGCGCAGCAAAGACGACGCGAAGGAAGGCTACTCGGTGTCTTATCCAATGGTGCCTTTAGATTTTAAAACTGACATGGCGAAGGGGTTTCCCGCTCCGAAAGGTAGTTCAGAGGACAGGAAAGGGGCTGACGCGTGCATGAAGCCTCCGGCGAGCGGGTCGGTGCCGCGCAGTGGCGCGACCACTCCTCAGGAGGCGGCAGAGATGCTGTTAGATTTTTCGTCATCGTCGGGGAGTAAAGTGTCGGGGATGGTGGCGGTGCGGCCGGTGTACCCCGCGTCGCCGGCGCTGGCGCTGCAGCTGGCCAAGAGCCCGGCGCCGTCGCCGCTGGTGGCGCCGTCGCCGCACTCCAACTCGCCCGGCATCACCGACGACGAGCTCATGGACGAAGCGCTAGTCGGGCCCGGCAAGTGAGTTGGAGTGTCACGCGCGCCCGACTCCCCTATACAGGGTGGAATTTTGTAATGCCACCTGGAGGGAAAGTACTCTTAATACTGTAGATAGAAAATTTTACTCAAAGAAAACATTCCTTTATTTTTGAAAAGAAAGAGAACTGCATTCAAAGATTTTCGAAAATTTTTCGTAAATTCACTACCATACCATACAATTTTCTGTAACATAATTAAAATAATTTAAGATTTCATAGTTTTCCTTTCATTTGATTTATCATGTTTGTTAGAGAGATTTCATTCTTATACTTAACCCTAACGATCGATGTCATAATGCGGATCGATGTCGGAATGCCCGGGTGTGGCAAGAAAATTTTTGGAAATCTTTGAATGCAGTTCTATTTCTTTTAAAAAATAAAGGAATGTTTTCTTTGAGAAAAAAATTCTATCTACAATATTTAGAGTACTTTCCCTCCAGGTGGCATTACAAAATTCCACCCTGTATAGAATGCAGTTCAATTCGCTATCGGACTGTTAACCCGCATATAAATAAAAAAGGCCAATCATTCAACAGTACCTACCTAGAATTTAAAATAATGATAACACTTGTGTATCGTGTGATGTATACTGAAGCCGGTAACTGATTAAACTACATTCTATGCAGAAAGTACAAGCGACCGGCCTTATGAATGACATACGTATTGTTACATTCTATGGTTATTATTATCTGTAACGAAGTATATTTAACTGATTTATATAATAATGTTATTTATGAACCTATATTTATTTGTGTCTGATGAATATTCATCGTTTTCTCAGTAGGTGTTATTTAAATTATGTGTTTTAATTTTTAAGACCACAAATATTAAACCAAGATATTTTGTGATTAACCTATAATCTGTATATGTTAGTATTTGTATAAATAATATCGTGTCATACAATCATTATACGAGAAGGCCCAGAAAACTAAACATGAAGCCCTTCATATAATCTTATTCAAGAACCACTTCTGACTAAACAACTGCCATGAATACAATTTAGTGTACAACATTATGTCCTAATTTTATTTTAGTTACGTAGCCAATAGTGAACAAGAATAATTTTTCAATAATAATTGTAAATATAATTATATGAATTGGTAATATATGATATTGAAATTATTACATCGGTAAGGGATTATGCTTATAGTTGAAAAGATTTTTTCAGAAATAAAACTATGAAAATCTATTACGTATTTCATTTTAATACTATTAAATAAATTAAGAAATAAATTACTTTCCTACGCTAATACATTAATGAATACAATCTAGGTACACTTAATAATATCTCAGAGAGCTTGGGCGATAATATGCGTAATATGGATAGAAAAAGTAGGGACTTCTTCTGAATGAAGAGTAGTAATATGGGTATGGGTTTCTTTTGAAATGACGCCGGGTTGCGAACCGCTTTTTCGATTTTTGTCTTTTTCTGATAAACGGTAGGGGAGCAAAACCAGCTGCTGTCTCCATCAACTCGTCAGGATGTTTCTCCATTATATCATCAGCAAACTCGTCGGTTAGAGTCTCATCATTGTCAAAGAATACCTCGTTATCTGTTTGCGAATAAATGTCACTCGGCAGATCAATGTCTTCTTCAACAATCACCTCCACATTCGGTATTTGCATTTCTACATCATCACTTCTAGTAGGATGTAATACTTGCTTCTTTTGTTCCGAATCGCCTTTGTTCGCTGTTGTTTCTTCATTGTGTTTGGATTCTGACTCACTGCATTTTGACGAATGTGCGTGGTTGTTATCGGCCGAAACAATTTGTTTTGAAATAGGATCCGCGATGGCGAGTCCCAGCGTCAGTAATAAAATTATTGATGTTTTCATTTTCTCTGTAAGATGATATGGTCAAGTTAGTGCACAACCAGAAACTGATGACAAGGTCAAAGGTATAGGCCTTATATCGCTGACTAAGTGGGCCGAAGAAAGGTGAAAACGAAGGTGCTAATATTGTATATTGTTAGGTACACATTTGAAAGCACTGGTTTTTATTTTGTCAAAACAATTTATAAGGAAAATGTTTATTTATTTACTTATTCTTTCTATTCTGCCCGGCCGGGCAGAAATTGAAATGATGAATTTTAATTTCTGTGACGGGTCTGGGTGTAAATATGTATAATATGTATGTATTTAATAAAAAAAAAGTATATAAGTAGTATATCCGTTAAGCTAGCACCCATAACACAAGCATTGAGTTGCTTACTTTGGGGCTAGCTGGCGCTGTGTGAAATTGTCCAAAGATTTACTTATTTACTTACTTATTTATTCGAGGTTGGGGGAAACCAGTATAACAAAACAATTTAAAATTGCTGAAACAGGAAGGAAATAAAATGATCTGCTTTGGCGGTTTATGATTGACCATACATCGACCGTTACCCATATTTGACCATAAATTGAGGTAAATTACTCTTATTTCTATTTAAAAAATCTATAAAGCATAGACACAAACAATTAAAGAATCTCGTTTAGGATTGGAATATCTAACAACAACCATATAATTCAGAGTTTCTTTACATATCAGCTTGGTAGGATTTAACCGTCAAATTAAAATAACGTGAATTCGGTAAATAAGTCACGAAGACTGGCAGTCCTATAAATATGTACTTACAATATAATAGTCCCGCTTGTAGATTGGTTCTCTAGAGGTACTGCACTTCGCTTTGTGAACGGGTTGGGTCCTCCTTTGTGGTCCCTGAACTCCCTGATTATTCCTCCTCTGCGCTTGGGCTCGAAGCCTTCTTTCTTTCAGGATCCTCATCGCAAATCGCGGTAGGAAGGGGTTCTGTGCCTCTGCCGTCTCCATCATCTCGTCATCAGAACTTAATCCCGACTCTTCCAGTGGTTTAGCTTGCGCAAATGTTGAACACAACATGAGTGAGAACACAAAAATTATAACTGAAAACTTCATTTTTGTTTATTGATTCAAGTTCCAACTTCGAAGCCTAATCCTTGTTTAATAGCTAAACGAGGGTACGGCATCCTTTATAGGGACGATATGATCGAGTGACACACATTCAGTGCATTTGTTTACCGGAGATGTTTTAGGAAACGTAACGGGTCATACGGTCACTTCCAATTATCACTTGCTTGGCTCACATTCATAGTCTCTTTTACACAGAAAATAAATATCTATTTTTAGTTACATTACCTACTTCCTACCTGTGACCTACTTACTTACTTTTTCTTTTTAAAACTAACTTGTTTAGAAGCCTATGTCTGCGAAAAAGACCTTGTCCTTGAACGCAAAACTAGTTTTGTTTGTTTTGTTAATTCTATCCTAAATACATTAATTAAGCGTAGGACTGGGTAGGTTATTCACATTGTACATTTTACGTTAACATTTAAGTAAATACATACAGCTAGATTAAAATAGCACAATATCACTAATTATGCATTGTTGAAATTATTTTGTTAATTACTGACTTCTTATTTAATTTTGACGAAATTTGGAAAAAAAGAGTAAGTAAGTAATCCTAGAATAGGCATTTTTCTAGTTTATGTAGTTGTAATAGCGACCGGATTATGAATTGAAGCCCCTGCGCTTACTGTTTACCCATATCAGTCACATAAAAGTCACGATGAATCATTTACAACATAAACAGCTATATAAAGCTAATAAACTTTACTAATCCTAAACAAGCAATTCTTTGAAAACACTACATTAATCACTCTCGTATTGCTAATACTACTGGGCTATAATTAGATCTTTCAACAAGTTCTATACTTAAATATTTTTTACCGTAGTTATTAATGCCTTCTTAGGACTATGATTATGCAATTATAACTGTCTAGCTGCTATGAGGCCAATTTCAATGTTAATTTTATATGATCTGTATAATTCTTTCTGTTTTAGTCTCTTGCCAATATTTTCATATGTGGCTTGTTTGCCTTGGTCTAGCGTCGTGTTGGTGTCGGTTATGCAACAAGCGGCCAGACCGTGGAACTAGGTAGAGCCGTTTCGTATTCAGTTTGAGAATCTATGAAATTATCTTTCTTTTGTTCAGAACGTGCTTCTAAGCGATTTTACTATCAGTGGTTTACCTGTATCTTTACTTTTATGGTTACTTAAACCTTTGTTTGTCACATGTTTACTTTGCACTGGAGGGAAGTCGATCCGTAACATCGAACTCCTATGTTCTTCTGACCAATTTCTTTGCGGGGTCCAACAATTTAACTTTCCCCGGGGCAAACTTGATATTCATTGGTTAGGTTTTTATTGGCGGTAAAGCTGTAGATCCTGGCTAGCTAGATACCCAGGAGTTGCAGCGCGGCGGTGGGAACGAGAGGTAAGAAATTTCCCCGAGCCAATGTACGTACACGTATGACGAACGAATGATAATGAACACCACCTGGGAATCGAACCCATAGCTCCGGGTCGCTACTAATTAGGTACTCTACGCTGTTACTAAAACATTTACCTAACAATAACTTACTACCTACCTAGTTATCCGTACATTATGCGGGCTCTGAAAATTAAACCAAGTAGGTAGTTAATTTATAAGAACCTATAAATCATAATTAAGTTGACTACCAGCTACAGGTCTGCATTGAAAATGTCATTTATCATTTAACTCGATTCAAGATTTTAATTGGTTGAATTTGAATATTTGGTAAAATAACTTACCTGTCTGAATTTAATTTTAAATTGCACCTGACCTTATACCTACTACTTACTAGCGGCCGCCCGCGACTTCGTACGCGTGGATCCCGTTTTACCCCCTTAGTTGAATTTTGCAAAATTCCGTCTTAGTGAGCACCTATGTTCTAAAAGGAACCCCTATGCAAATTGTGAGACTCCTAGCACTTGTAGTTTCTGAGGTTTCGTGATGAGTGAGTCAGTAACCTTTCGCTTTTATAGATACTTAGATTGGTAAATTAAAGTAGATTTGTGCTTGAATGTCGTTTATAAATGGTTCTAATCTAAATAATAAGTAGGTATTCTAAGATGGACAAGTGCCAAAACAGGATGTGGGGTGAACAGATTGCGTAATATTGTGTCATAATAAAGTATGTATAAAAAAATAGGTAGGTAGTATAATGAACATCTACACCTGGTATAACATCTGCGATTGGGCCTTCCCCATTCCCCATCTTAAGTTTAAGATAGTAAAATAATTCACAAATCAATTGAATCGCAGAACTCAATATTGTAGTCATAATGCGTCGTGTTTACTGAAAAGTTTATCAATGTGTTATTTTAAATCCACTTAATCCGATTTATAATGTTTCCTAATTAAAAGAAGTATGGGTAGGTATGTTATGTCCAAAACTGTAGAGCTCGAAAAATTTCTCTTTTACTAAACACAGGTGTAGGTTTTCTAAACAAAGGGAAAAATGCTAAACAGCATGCTTTAACTCTTTGTTACCATAAATGAACACATGTAGAGCATGCATCAAAAGTTTATTTATATTTTAAGAAAGTCGCAGAACTAGGAAGAAGAGATACTAACCAAAGACAATAAAAAATGCAGAGTCATTCGAAAATGCGCCACCTCGCTTAAACTTGCAGTTATGAGCTAAATTATACAGCGACTGTCGCCGTGCATCGGACCATTGCAATGGATTTTTAGCTAGACTTTGGCTTTTACGTAGAAAACGTACGTAGGTACCGTAGGTAGGTACTTACGTTGTTAAAATTTAAAGTTTTGCATGTAGTACAAATAAATAATGTTTCATACTTACATAATATAAAAACAAAGTCGCTTTCCGCTGTCTGCCCTTATGTATGTTTAGATCTTTAGAACTACTGGAACTACGCAACGGATTTTGATGCGGTTTTTTTAATAGACAAAGTCAAGAGGAAGGTTTATAAGTATAAAACATGCATATTATACTTAGAAGAGAAAAGTCGAGAAATTGCATTACAAACCGGGGTGCGCCGCTAGTTATAAATAAAAAGGAAAGATTTGATTGTTTGTTTGAATTGAAAAGGCTCCAAAAATACTGGACCGTTTTGAAAAATTATTTGACACATTAGAATCCTAACGCGAACGATACGAAGTTAGCTGGGGCAGCTAGTTAGTTAATAGAAACCTATGAACACAGTAGATACTGTGCTATGAATCTACTAAGACTAACAATATCTTTCAGCTCGAGTAAGTAATACAAGTCTGAATCTTTCATTGCATTCGGCTTTGGCGTCTTTGGCAACAACCTACTAATTATTGCGTGACATTTTAAGTCGTCCGCCCCTACTGCGTGTCATTTTGTTTAAAAAAAATAACTATGTACTTAAATTGTAACTCGGCTGGTACGTTTAAGGAGACAGGTCGATGCGATGTGTGCTATTTTAATACTAAGTTGACAAATCCACTTTGTAGTTTTTACTGACCACGTTTTCCTCATATCTGAAGCATTTGACGCAAGCTAGAGGATACTTATGTGGGGAGGTAATTGTAAACATAAAACCAAGGTCGCAATTCGTTCATACAGGAGCTATTTATTTATTTATTTGATCACCGACAAGGTTACATTGTAGCGTTCACAAGAATAAATTACAAAAACGACACTTGTTAAATGAAAACTTAATATAATGGACAGATATTAAACAAATACCATTATTCGTTACAACAATTATAAAATTGTTAAGCACTCATGCTTACTCATTTGTACAGATTTTTTTTGTCGGGAAATGCTTTGCGCTTACCCACTGACCGATGTACACCTAACCTCTCCTTATCATTTTACAACAAAATTTTATTCAAATAATATACTCGTAAGGTGACCTATGTATAAAGCGATAAATCAGCACATGTGCTTATTTGCCTTGTTCAGTAAAATACTTTCTATCTTGGTTAACTATGTAGGTAGATAATCAAAAATGCAATACAAA